CGTTGTGTTGTCACAGGAGTCCTGTCCGCAGCCTGTGCCTCCCCACTCCGCATGGATTTTAGGGCTTGGCAGAGGTGTCGGCACCAGGTACACTGAGGGGCTTGGAAACCTCGCTGCTGTTTAGGGGCGGGATGGGAAGAGTGGCGTCAGGGCTTAGAAGCCTGACCGACTTGATGTTCTTTTCTTTAAATTAAGCGATCAATATTCACTGTTAAAATTAGGAGATGAATACAAGCAAAAAGAATTTAAAAATTACAGGTAATCTTGTCATCTAGAAATACAGTTGACTTTTCTTTGCGTTGTATTTAATGTTTTGTTGTTTCCAAATGTTAGATATAATCAGTGATGTAATGAGCACCCTCTCGGGCAGTTGTTTTCCCTCTAAAATGTATCATCTTTTCTCCTTTTCACTTTTAAGTTTATACATATGCTGAGTACATTCTTGTAAAAACCCAGAATTCCAGCAGCGCCCGCGTGTAGAGCAGGAGGTGGCCATTCTCACCAGCTCATCCGTCACCTGCAGGAGGAGGCCTGGCCGCCTTGGCACGTGGCCTCTTAGACCTTCTCCTGAGTTACATGCATGCGGGGCATGTCTGTCACCTGTCTGTCACGGAGCCTCCCCTTGCTCTTCTTGGTGGGCGGACGGCGCCCGTCCTGACCCACGGCCCTGCCGCGAGCGTGTTGGGGGGGGTCTGGAGCCCAGGTGCCCAGGCGTGGGGTTCCGGGCTCAGCGAGGGATGCCTTTCTCTTGAGATACGTTGTCAGCTGATCCCAGAGCGTGAGGTCCAGCCCGAGAGAGGCCTGGTCTTTCTGAACAAGTCCTTCCTGCTTCTGACATGTGCACTTGACGTTCGCTTTTTAATTTGTTTACACTCCGCATGTCTTTTGTTAGAATGTCTTGGTAATTATTTGACTCTCTCAGTCTTTGCGTTGCGATTGTCATTTTTGTGTTGGAGTCTGGAAAGGCCTCCTTCAAGTTCGAGATGGCTGATGATTTCCCTTGCTTTTTTCCCCTGACTTCTTCTATTTGATGTTTTCATTTAGTAATTTAACTCTGCGTCTGTGTTATGTTTTCAAATGTAGAACAAGGCAGGAAGCTAACTTCATTGGTTTTCCGCTGCTGTGTCAGGATTAGGCTTGGCTACAAAGAGTGAAAGTAACAGAGTGATGGTGCCCTGATCCCAGGGGACCAGCCCACCTTCTCCCTCTGCTGCTTTTCTCAGCCTTGCGGGGATCACGGTTCTGGAGGCCGGCCACAGGCCAGCACGCTGGGACTAGGGAAGGGGAAGGGGAAAGGGCTGTGGGAGCTCTCCCCTTAGGAAACCCTCCGAGAAGGTCTCCCCGGGGCCTTCTCCTGGGGCCTGGCAGATGCTTCCTGGCCTCTTAAGTGGCCTGGGCCCCCCAGGCGATCATTGTTCCTGCTGGTTTTGAGATACCACCTCTCTGACCCATGATGGAGGAATTTTTCCATGGTGGTCACAGCATAGAAATTTCCTTGGAAGATTTGGAGGCTGAAAGCTAGTGGGGTGACGTGAGCTGTAGGAGATGCGGTGACTAAATTGTGAGCCATGGAGGAGACTTGGGTGTGGTTTTATGTAGACGTCTTGTCATCTGTGAGCTTCCTCTGAGGTTCTGATATGTGAGAAGAGTAACTGTCCTCGTTTTCAAGTAGAAAAGATCAAAACTTTTCACAGACATAATTCAGCAGAGCACTTTGGAGAACCAAATGCGTGTGTGTGTTCAGTGCTGGAAGCGATGGCTGCACACGTGGTCGCTGGCGCTTACTGTGAAAGTGTGTTGTCCTGACCTTCATGGGTCGTTTCTTAAAAGTGAGGAAGCTACTTGTAACGTGGTACTGAGTAAATAATCCCACCTGTTTTATTTATCACTGTTTTACATTTTTTTAAAAGGACAGTTGGCCATTTAAGTAATTTCTGCTGACAAAGCAAGTTATCCAGTACAGGGGTAAACTATTTCTTGGATGTTGATTTTTGATGACATTGTACAGGGAAGGTAGACCTTAAGTGACAAAGTCATAAGCAAAATATGCATTTTATCAAAACTTGATTCATCCCACACATACTGGTTGAATGCTCACGGTAAGCAAGCAAGCGATGTTCGGCGCTGAGATCAGGCCCCTGGAGGTCACCTTCCCTGGACAGAGCCCGGCTGCGGGGGCGGTCACCACACCAGCTGGAGGGCGGGGCGCTGCTTCTCCCGCCTGCCGGCTCTGTTGGGCTGCCCCAACCCACAACTGCACTGCCTGCCCCACCCTTCCCAGCCCTCCGTGCTTCCTCTCTCCTCTCTGCGTTCCTTCCACCAAGAGCCTGAGCCGGAGGAGGCAGCTGCAGGGCTCTTTGGATCTGCCCGGGCCTCATGATGGTTGTTAGACATTCTCGTGTCTTTCTGCTGCACCAGTGGTGCATCACCCTCCAGAGCCACGCGGTCCTCAGGTGGCCCCAGCGGTCGCGCAGTGCCTCCCGGTCCCTGCTTGCCTCGAGTAAGAGCCTGCAGGGGCTGGGCCAGAGCCACCCTGTCCAACCAGGCCGCCAGCAGGATCCCTTCCATTCCCAGAAGGCAAAGCAAAAATACTCTTCCTAATATTTGTTACAGCCGTTGCTAATTTTTAGATGCAGTTTAACACAAATTTCAGGTAGGCGTTTCATTAGTGTATCTTATTGGTGGAACCCAGCTCTGAAATCAGGAGGCGTGTGCTCTGCTGGCACTCTGCTCTGGGATGTGGGCACGCCTCGGCCTCGTTACTCATCTCTCCTGAATCAGGAGGGGAGGCGTGCTTGCCTGTCACAGAGAAGGGGCGCCCTTCTCTGTGACAGGCAAGTCAACAGACATCTGACGAGACTGACACTGTCACACTGGGCGGTGTCCGTGCCTCCTGGGAAGCTGACGGGCGACTTTTCACGTTGCTCTTTCACATGTGACAGTTCTCTCCACCCTGCAGGCGCAGACTGGCAGTGACATTTTGGCAAATCGGAATGGCCTGTTTCCTAGATGCTTTAATGTGTTACATTTGTGGGGTGTGGATAGGGTTTTGCCACACCAGGTTTGCTGTCCTTCTTCCGTGTCTCTGGGCCAGTTGCTTAGGTACTCTAGGCCCATATCCTTATCTAACGTCTCTATGCTTCTGTACTCCTGGTGTTACCAGAGCAGCGCTGAGCTGCAGGAGACCGTGTGCTCTTAGTGCATTGATGGACTGACTTCTCAGCGAGGTGACGGCTGGTCCAGTGGCACATGCTGTTGCCCTGAGGAGCCCTGTGCTGTCTCCTGACAGCTGCCCGGTGACAATGTTACTGTCACTTGTTAACAGGGGGAGGTCCCCGGTGTGGTCACTAACGTGACACATCTGGTCCTGCTGACGACATTGCCGAGCGCTGGGAACCATTGGCCACGCCGCCGACGTGACGTGCCTGCTGAGCTGCTGGAAGAGATGCAGTTAAAGGCTTAGGATGTAGTTGGTGCTGGGTAGTTGTTGAGATGTTAGAAGCTCTACCTGATAAATTGTAGAGTTGGGTAGATATTTTGGAAAAATTACTGCATTTTAATGTTGCCTGACTTTCTACCTTTTTGGGCTTTCTAAAAACGGGACTCATGGCTGAATCAGCGGCATGCTTGGGGTGAAGTTTTGCGTGATTTTTTTAAAAAAAATTAAACGTGATAACGTCAGGGCTCCAATCAGTGATGGCCTCACTGACCTTGCAGATGCACCGTGAACAAGCGTGTCGGGCGTTTATTTCCTGTGTGTGTCCCATGTGTGCTGTCAGCGGTTTCGAGTAGCTTTTAAACTGAGTGTCAGGATGGTCACTTCAAGTGAGTAGTGGGGGTGGCAGTCCTGAGGGTGAGAGAGTGAGGTTGGCCTCAAACAGGAGCCGAGGGCAGGTGAGATGTTAGACATCCTGTCCTTACCTTTGTCGTTTGGCGCTGGAAGGTCCTGTTAAGTGTTGCCTGCTGTGGGGTGGACTGTCTTGCTAGCTGTTGAGCTAACTAACATGATAGCATTATTGAACAAATTTCATTTTGTCTTCTCTTTTCCATGCTAATAATCAAACTTAGAATGGAAGCAGCTAGATTTGACTTGACGTAATTCCTAGAATCGGGTTATTTGCTTGCCCGTCTTTAAATCCCTAAAAGTAACCGAGGGTGACCTGTGCTTCCTTCCTGGGTCTGCGGCCCAGATCCTTGGCTGAGACTTAACTCCCCGTTGCCACCGCCAGGGACTGGCAGAGACGTGAGTTTTGGGGCAGGGGTGTGAGGCAGCTTTTGGAGCCCGCTCCTTTCTCCTGAAACCATTGCTTTTTAGACCTTTGTTAGGAAAGACTGAGAGGGAGAGAGGGCCGAACTGACTCGTGTCCCTGCACACCTTGGTGCTGGCCTCCTTGCGGGAATCTTGAGGGGGGATGCTCCAGTGCTGAGTTGAGTGGGGCTTTCTGCCCGAGAGATGTGGTCGTGGGCCCTGGGTGCTGGGTCTAGGGTGTTGTCCGCTGGTGGGCCAGGCAGACCTGGCTGTCGAGACTTGGGGCCGCCAGGCTCCCGAGGACACATGTCTTCCTGGCCTGGCCTGTCTCAGACCCTTTAGTGAGGGTGCCCGTGGGTGCAGAGCACAGCCCGGACAGGGTGAGAAACCCACTGGGTTTCCCTGCGCTGCCTCAGTTGGGATCACCCTCCATCTTTCACGGATGGAGTTCTCTCAGTTCGTTCATGTAAAGTCCCTGAAATGTTTCTTTTGAATAAGCCTTTAAATGCCAATTGAAAGTTTTGATATTTATATCAGCAAAATTTGCTCGTGTTACTCTGTGGTGCTAAACCGTACCGTGGAATTTCATCCACCACAGAGTGTTCATTTCATTATATACTTTCAGAGGAAACAAGAAACTGGATTTTAAGTGGCCAGAAATATATTTTAGTGTCATGCTGATCTAATAGCAGAATGAGAAGTGTGGTTAAGCTTAATTGTAACTCTAGTTTGTTTCTCTTTTGTCCACTAGACTTCATGAGGAAATAATTGACTTTTATAACTTCATGTCCCCTTGTCCTGAAGAAGCAGCCATGAGAAGAGAGGTGGTGAAAAGGATCGAAACTGTGGTTAAAGATCTTTGGCCGACGGCTGATGTGGGTATACCCTTTGCACTTCTGTGTCGCTACAAGTTCATGTCAGCACCCTGTGGCCACCTGTGTCTGTGGATCAGTGCAGACGTGGCCGAGGCCATGCTTCCAGGTTCCAGGGGGTCCTGAGATGGGTGGCCGCCCTTACCGAGGAGCTGGTTAGAGACGCACGCGCCCTGCCCCTGCCCAGTCAGAAACCCTGGGCCTGCCCAGGTGGGATCTCTGCCGAACTTGGGTGGTTCTGACACCTTCAAGTGTGAGGACCATCGGCCCGAGGGAATTTCTTTTTGGAACAGTGTTGTTATTCTTCCTGGTTTAAGTTTACCTTAAGATGAGAAGTTTTACCTCTTCCCTGCGTCACGCATCCTAGTGTGTGTTCCGTTTTTTGAAACTACACACTAGTTTTCCAGAGAGCTAACGCGTGTACGTTGAGATGCGGTCCGTGGGCACTTGGAGCGCGGAGCCAGTGGGAGACGGCCCTCTGGCCGGCCCCGGGCTTCCCCTCCAGGGCACAGTGACACACGGCACTTCCGGCTTTGCACTTCGGTGCCCTGGGACAGAGCCCTGCCCTGTGCCTTCCACGGGCTTGAGCCGCTGGGCTCTCAGCAGGCCCTGGCTTTGTGGGCTGTGGGCGAGGCCAGGAATTGTTACGCCCGTTAGTGCTGAGTTGTTAAAGATTCCTTTCAGGGGCTGGCGTTTACCTTACAGACCGAGAGGAGTTTGTTTGACCGCTGGGCCCTCACAGCACCGCAGCGTGAGAGGGGGTGGGGCAGGGCCGTCCGCGTGGCCGCGTCTGAGACGCCCCCTCTCTGTTGCAGGTGCAGATATTTGGCAGCTTCAGCACGGGCCTCTATCTTCCCACCAGGTGAGGCCCAGCTGCACCGCCGCGCGGAGGACCAGGGTTGGGTCTGCATAGCCGGGTGGGTGTCTGCACGCGTGTTAAGGCTAAAGTAGGTTCCTTGCATTCAAAGCTAAGGCTAGAGACGCGAGCGAGAGGAAGAGACGGTGGAGCACGGAGGGGAGATTGCAGGAAATAAAAATTTAATGACCGTTATGGTAACTGACTGCTTTGCATTCTTCCCCTTGCACTTAATGTGGTGGGATGCAGAGCGCTGGCTCCTAGGAGCGGGGGGATGTGGGAGCCGTGGGAGCAAGCGCGGTAGAAGACGGTCTGAGACTTTTGGATTTGTTTTTGAAAAGTTCATCTTTTGTTTTAATGAAGATTCAAGCAAACTTCTACTTGAACAGTATTTTGTAAGGATTTTTATTGGATAGAAAAAGGTCAAAGAAGTTTGCATTCTAAAGCCGTTCTCCAGTGTACCCTCGTCAAGGACGCTTCAGTATCTTAGTTTTATGTGCATCGTTTTATTAAAAGCTTATATTCTCCCAAGCCACTGTTAACCCTTGGAGGCTAAAGAGGCCACAGTCTCAGGATTTGGGTTGGCGTTGGCAGGGCCAGCGGGGAGCTGGACAGATTCGAGGTGTCCAGGACCCCGGGCCAGTGCAGCCGTGAGGGCCTCGGTTGCCTCGGGGTGCGGGAGACTCGGTCAGCGTTTGCTTTCCGCCTCTGTTACGAGTGGCTCGTCAGCTGCGCTCTCTCACCGAGCGGGAGGGGCTTCCCGGCACGCCGTCTGCCCCTCAGAGGACCTGCGGGCCTGTGCCGGGGCGCCGGTCTGCCGGCCATGTGTGCCGCCGTGTGGGGAGGCGAGCAGGGCTCACACTCGCTTTTCTCCCACCCAGCGACATCGACTTAGTGGTCTTTGGAAAATGGGAGCGCCCTCCGCTGCAGCTGTTGGAGCAGGCCCTGCGGAAACACAGCGTGGCCGAGCCGGGCTCCATCAAGGTCCTCGACAAGGCGACGGTAAGCGTGGGTTCTGGGCCCCGGGCCCGTGCAGGGGCTCTGCGCGCCTGCAGGCAGCCTGCGTCCCGTGGGGTTAGCTGATGTGGCCAGCGGTTTCTGGCTGCGTGTTTGAAGACTTCCCTACTTGTAGTGTAAACGCGCTGTTTTTTTGTGGTTAGGAGTTGAAGCTGAGAATGTTTAGACACCATCTGAAGTAGAGGTTGTGAGAGCACCAAACTGTTCCTGCTCTAAAATGCATGATGGGGCCGTCTCTTACGAGGCCGCGTAAGGAGAAGATATTAATACCCGAAACGAGGCAGATTCAGAGGCTGCCTTTTGTGGAGAATGTAGCAGAATGATTAGACTGTGGCATTTATCACGTAGAAAAGGATTACCATTTGCCAAGTTATACTTCAGAGAGAGAAGCTTGCCTGTTCCTTTCATCGTTCCAAAATTGTACACACGTGAAAACTGTGCTTCTCTCCGGAGAAGATGGAAGATGAGGCGGCTTTGGAAGCGCGGGCCCAGGTTCACCCTGGTCCAGGGCCGCCGACAGCTCAGGAGCTCCGTGTTACCTGCCTGTTGTGTGCGGGTTATCAGAGTCTCGGCTCTGCCCTTCTGTGGCTCTGCCGTTTGTCCCGTCGTGTTGGCCCCTCGAGAGTGCACGGTGGGTGGCCGGTGGTCTCTGACCAGGTGTCCTTGTTTAGGTGTAGAGCAGCTGAGGAGGCTCAGCCTGAATGTCTTGGGTTCCAGAACTTTCTGGAGGACAGACCATGTGCTGAATAGATGCTGCAGGAGCTGCATGGTCAGGTGGCCTCATTGCTGTCACACACCTCCTCAGCTGCTGGAGGCCCGTCTTAGGCCTCCACGAGTGTCAGCTGTTGCCAGGCAGCCCTCTCTGCCGGGCAGCCTCACCAGCATCTCATCACGGGCCCTGAGCCCAGCATGAGAGCTGTGTTTAAGGTGGAAACTGGTCTGTTTTGAACAACCACCAGAAAATAAGTATTGCAGTGTTACTACTAATCTCCAGAATCTGGGGCTTCAACACATGAGCGAGGGTGGTGGGGGGGGGAAGGAGAGAGAGAGAGAGAGGGAGGGGGGGGGGGGGGGCGGGAGGGAGGGGGGGGGGGGGGGGGAGGGAGAGAGGGACAGTGTGTGTGTGTGTGTGTGTGTGTGTGTGTGTGTGTGTGTCTGTGTCTGTGTCTGTGTAAGGCAGGAGGGTGCCAGGAGTGACTTGGGGAGAAAAGTCCGTGCGTATAGAAGAGGCTTCATAGCTGTGTCCAGAGGTGCCGGGGAAGATGCTGACTCCTGAGGAGTTTACCACGTCCGGGAGGCGTGGGCCCTTGACCATAGGCTCCTTCTGAAGCAGTTTTGATCGGTTCTTTGGGAAAGTGTTTTGTTTCCTCTACCTCCTTGGACCTCGCCCTGCCTGGTGGTGGAGGTGATCTCCAGGAGAGACTGCCACCACCTGCTGGCCTGTCCCTCTCACATGTGTCCTGGGCAGTTTGCCCCCAGGTGTATATGTTTTAGAGCCCAGAGCAGGTGTGCACTGAAGAGCGTGTTCCTCTGTTGACTTCCAGACATTTTAAACCTTTCGTGAGACCCCGATTGTTTTGGCGGAGGGAATGTCCTTTTTTGTTCCTTAGAGGCTGCGTTTTTTTCTGTAAGAACACAGTTTTGTGTGGGGCAGGTGTGGTCTGAATGGTTGCTTGGGCAGCTTTTATGAGGCCGGTTTTGGGTGCCTTCTGGTGATGATTCTTGTTACTGAGAGCATTTACAGAATAGCCTTTTACTTGATTTTCAGGGAAAAAAATTGTTTTTAAGTTAAATTGTCTTAAAGAATGAAAACCCACAGTAGAGTTGTTTGGAGAAACAATATCAGTACAAAATATAATTTAAAAAACAGCTTTGAAGTTACTTTGAATGCTTTCAGAAATTCTAGCAAATGTGATTTGGGGACCAAAAGCTCTGCCCATCCCCAGGCCCTCATGGGGGGACAGGGCCTTAGCTGGCTTCCCCTCGCGGTAGGCAGGCTTGGGGAGCACAGGTCCTGCAGAGAGCCCGTGGTTGATGCTCGGTCACCAGCGAGGCGCCGGGTCAGGCCGGCAGGGCCGGGCAGAGATGAGCGCTAGCTGTTGTCGGGTGGGGGGGCGGCCTTGGGGGCGCATGGGGTTGATGCTGGGAAAGTCCCTTTTCTTCTCATCTTTACAATCTGGGGTTCATGATCTCTAAGCCCCTTCTGTGTATAAGGAGAAAAACCCTCTGTACAACTTGGGAAACATCTGATGCCTGACCGTGGAAAACGTTGCCTATTAAAGCACAATTTTCTGTTTTCTAAAGCACAATTAAATACTTGCAGGTACCGATAATAAAACTCACAGACCAGGAGACGGAAGTTAAAGTCGACATCAGCTTTAACATGGAGACTGGGGTCCGGGCAGCAGAGTTCATCAAGAATTACATGAAGGTGCTGTCTCAGCAAGTTAGCACAGTAAAAACCAGGGGGTGATAATCTTTAATGACAAAGACTGTAGCAGTTGAATTTATCCTACAGTACTATTTCTAGAGACACTTCGAAACTACAGAGCTGTTTTGTAGATTTGCCTTCCTTGGCTAACCATTTCATACACTCGAGCATTATTTTAGAGCACTTTGTTGAAATATTCTTTCTAGTTATTACAAAATGACCATCCCTGTAGCTCAGCGTGCCTGATTGCAAGTTGAGTACATCATAGTGGAGTGCATGTAGATTTGCTTACTTTGGGTGGTCTCAGTGCCTAAGGATGGGACGCATTCACTGGACTCTGACCAGGTGTGTGGTGCAGTTAAATGGAGAGTCCTTCCCTCCTGTTGCCGTGGAGGTGGCGAGGCGACCCCAGCCCCATCATCTGGACCCTGCCTCTGCCCACAGTTTCGGGACCACGTGCTCCCCTTCCCTCTGCACCATCCCGCTTGCCTGAAGGGCCATTTCTACCCCAGCAGAGCAGGAAAAGCAGCAGGAGCTTCCACATCCCTCCACCTGCTTCTCAGCCCTTCTGCCCTCCACCCTTCGCCCTGCGTTTGGCGATGATGCCTTCTGCTGGCCTCCTGCTGCCCCCCTTGCCCCTCTCACGGGTGCTTCTGAGTGCTGGCGTTTGCGCACTGCCACTGGCGAGCAGGGAGACACTGGGAGGAGAGGCTCATTCTCTCCCCAGCCCCACTGGGCTTGGGGTCTCCATGCAGGCTCGCCACCTCACCCCTGCTGAGCCATAACCTGGGGCGGGGGGCGGCCCAGCGTGGCCCTGACGAGCCCCTCACATAATTCATTCTCAGGCCCCTACGGTGTGAGCATGATTGGCCTCGAGCCTTCCAAGGGGCAAGAGGATGAAGGGAGCTTCCTGTCTGCCATGTGGAATTTACTGTGTGAGAAGTCTTCAAAGCTACAGAATCTAACCAGATGATGTTTTTCTTTTGGAATTTGCAGAAATATTCATTGCTGCCTTACTTGATTTTAGTACTGAAACAGTTCCTCCTGCAGAGGGACCTGAATGAAGTTTTTACAGGTGGAATTAGCTCGTACAGCCTAATTTTAATGGCCATCAGCTTTCTGCAGGTGGGTGTGCTTTCTCTCGAGAACCCCTGACCCTGAGGCTTCCGTGGGAGTGCCCTTCCTTGACGCTCTTACCGGCTGCTTCATGGGTCCCAGCTCCTTGCTGTCCCTTCGGTGTTCTGTTTGGTGTGGTAGAAATTGACTTCTAGTCTTCATCATAGAAGTCTGTTTTGATCAATACTATTTCCTTTGCTCCTTCGCAGCTTATTTTTGTATCCGATTTAACTGTTGGAGGGATGGCTTATCTCGTTCTGTCAATCGGGTGTATATTGATCTAACCTTGAAGAAACACTCTTTATATTTAGAAAAACTTCATGCCTTGAGGGACAGTGAAACACTATTTTTCTCGGTTCTTGACTATGATTTATACTGCAAAATTTGTCTCAGAAAAATAGTTGGCTACCACAGAAGGTAAAAAAATACTCAAGAGGGCTTTTTTTTCTGAGTGATGAAAAGTCAGTATTTTGTCTTTAATTATCTGTTGCGCTTATTTTGTTGAGTACCATGGAAAAATCAATCAAGAGAGAACCTCCCTAAGTATTAAATGCTGTGATAAACTATACTTATACTACTTTTTAGACATATATTCTCTAAGTTAACGGAGACATGAATTGCCCCGTTTAAATTTACTGGAATGAAGGACTGCGCCTGTGTTCTAGCTGCACAGCACCGTCCTCCGTATTTATCAGCAGGTTTGCATTTGTGGTTTTATGTCCAGAATTTGGTCATTTTTCTCAGTGTCATTAGTACAGCTGACAGTAGGATTGCTGGTCACAGCGCCTTTCACCATGTTGATTTCCTTGGCATGTTTTTGCAGAGGTGCTGTAAGAACAGTGAAAATGGAGTTCCGCGCCCATTTTCTTACCGTTCTAATGACACTGCCTTGGCCTCCCCTTTCACCTCGGACATGCTGCCCTTGTAGCCGTTCTTCCCGAGTTTTCGGACATTATTTTTTTTTCAACGGTACGTGGGCCTCTCACTGTCGTGGCCTCTCCCGTTCCGGAGCACAGGCTCCGGACGCGCAGGCTTAGCGGCCATGGCTCACGGGCCCAGCCGCTCCGCGGCATGTGGGATCTTCCCGGACCGGGGCACGAACCCGTGTCCCCTGCATCGGCAGGCGGACTCTCAACCACTGCGCCACCAGGGAAGCCCCGGACATTATTTTGAACAGAGCACGACGTTGTGCGCTTAATTTATCTCCTCCCGTTTTCCTGATTGAAACTCTTCCAGTAGCCTTGTAACGGACCACTGTCCACTTCTGTGGTGCTGGGCTCCCCGTCTGAAGTGACCATGGAGGCCGCACCTGTCTGGGGCGGGGTTGCCGCTATCCCCTGCCCATCCCTCGGTGCCTTGCCCGCCCTGCCTCAAAGCCGTGACTGCTGTAGCGTCTGTGTTCATTTCGTGGCTCATTGAGGTCAGGAGGCCCAGCCTTGCCCCGGGTGGGCTCTCAGCTGGATGATTTTTGACTAAGGCCAGGAAAATAAGGAAAGGAGAAGGTAAGGCAAAAGTAAGAATGCAGCATTGTGCCTTTGTAAGGTCTTCCGAACCCTGAAAACACCTGCAGGCTTTAGAAACCGTATTTCCTTGAGGAGCCCTGTGTTGTAAACATTTTCAGCCCTTGTGCTTCTGCTAGGACTCGGACTTTTACGTCCTTTTGGACTTGACCGTCCTTTTCTTGATTGCTGCTGTCCAGTGTGACTTGCTGTGTGAGGGCGGTGCTGTCTGCTTGGTCCAGCAGCATGGCCATGTGTGCTTACGGGGCGCTGGCAGTGTGGCTATAGCAGACCAGCAAACTGAATGTTTAATTTGTTTGTTTTAATTCGTTTAAATATAAATACTCACATACGGCTCGTGGCCGTCACAGTGGGCAGTGCAGGTCCCTGTTGCTCACATTCGTGAGCCTCTTAAATTAGTGACACTTGGGTGGGGTCAGTAGACAGGGGCTTGGAGCTTCAGAATAAATCCATTACCTGCTTCAAGAACGCGTGGCGTGGAGCTGAGGCTGACGCGCACCCGTATGCCCGGGCAGGGATGTGAGTTTGCTGTAAATATCAGGATGCGGTGCTGATGCGGTGCTGACTACCATACACGGTTAACATTAACCGTTTCATGTTGCCCTGTGGTACTGTTCAGTCTCACACTGCCCCCTGTTGGCTGTATTTCAGAACAATGGAATTGAGATTAGAATCTGTGAAAGCACCTCCACCATCTAGGTGACTCTAAATTGTGCAGAATATGGTCCACTTATTTATCAGTGCTTGTGAATTTGCGGTTCATCAGATGTCTGTGTAGGAGGTAGCTATGTGGGTTACAAATTTCAAAGAATTAAAGTATAATATAAAAATTCAGATGAGAAACTTTTATTTCTTTTGAGCACTCTTGATTGGCAAAAGATATCCAGGCTCTGTTGGTGCCTCCTGGCTGCCTCTGCGAGTGTCCTCACGGTGCTGGTGCGCAAGCGAGGGCCACCGACTGTGTGCATCCTTGGCTAGCTAGCCAATGCCACCTCGCGCAGCTGTCCCTAGAGAGTGACCAGAATCCGAACAAACTGTGGATGCCTTGCTTTTACAGTTGCATCCAAGAATTGATGCCCGGAGAGCTGATGAAAACCTTGGAATGCTTCTTGTAGAATTTTTTGAACTCTACGGAAGAAATTTTAATTACTTGAAAACTGGTATTAGAATAAAAGAAGGAGGTGCCTATATCGCCAAAGAGGAGATCATGAAAGCCATGACCAGCGGGTACAGGCCGTCGATGCTGTGCATTGAGGACCCCCTGCTGCCTGGTAAGGACCCTCGCTTTGCACTCGCCCCAGCATGGAGGCATCGCGCGCCAGCTGGGTGTGGAGGGGCATCCACAGTCCCCCCCCCCCCCCCCCCCCCCCCCCACTGAGCCGAGGGCATGTGATCTGATGTAGGTTCCTGCTGTACTAACAGAGTTAATGGTGGCACGTTCAGAATTCATTCTTAATGCTTCTAATCAACGTACTGTAAAGTTGCAACTTTGTTTACTTTCTGTAATCAGAAGAACATAGAAAGTGAGAATTAAGAAAAAAATTTTATTTTTTCTGAATAGAAAAGTGTTACGTATCCATCATAAACCATCTGCTTCCCAGAAGTTTGTCACATAGAAAAGTGAAGTATGCCATAATCCCCTCCCTTTTGATGTGTTTTTCTCCAGTTTTCCATACGTGGATATTAACATTGATTGTTGCCTCCTTATTAATTGAATGGCGTCACATAATACCAACAGACTGCAGCTTGTCATTTTATTTAAACAATGCACACGAGACCCTTTTCCTCTGTGCATGGGGAGTGTTCGCTGTAAGGGCTTCCTCCTTGCAGACCCTGAGGCAGGTTAGGGTACTTTACACCCACACCTTTGGTGACCGTCTTTTAAATCTTTGCCGATCTGATGAGACCGTGCAGTACACGTTGTCACGTACCTTACAGTTCTTTAATGATGAGTGAGGTTAAACACATGGTTACTATCAATTGCACAAAATGTTTATCGAGCATTTATTAGGTGACACAGTGTACTTACTGTTGGTGATAAAGTCAGTGACAGACAAGTGACAGGAAGGGTGGTGGAGATTGTTAGCTCCAGGTCCACTGCCCTTTGTGTTACTTTTTGTGTGAGCTCATGTGCTTTGTCCATCTGTCTGCTGGCCTGTCCTCACTGACTTTGTAAGGTCCTCTGTGCGTCAGGGAAGCCTTTCTTTGTTGACATGCTGTACTTTTGTGTCTTGTGTCTGTATTTGGTATTTTTTATTGTTTTGCTCCTGTATATGTTTTCCAACATCCTCAAATTTATGATTTCTGTTTTGTTTTGTGGCTTCTGGGGTATGAAATTTATTTCTTAAAAATTTTTTGAAAGACTCTCCTCTGTGATCTGTAAACGCTGTAGTCCACACAGGTGCTTATCCCTCAGCCCAGTAGGACAGGTTTCTCTCACCGGTTTGTCTGTTTGGATCAGTTAAATGGCAGGCAATTCCTTGGTCTTCAGTGTTTGCTGAAATATAACTGAAAAATGAAAACCCACACAGTTACTGGGTTACATTATTATTAAGCCTGGAAAGGAGACAATTCCAGTGCTTAAGGATATATCTCCTAAAAAACACCCTCACCTGAATTGTGAAGAGCGAGTTACGTGTAAAAATTAAAATTGGAAACCCTGCCATTCTTAACAAAAGTCACCTCCTTGCCTGTGGCTCTTGCCGACTTCAGTGGTGGCTTCGTCTTTATTTGCCATCCACCCAAGAGTTCGGCCTGGCACCTTCTGTGCTCGAGGGTTTGCTCCTTCAGGCCCCCTCGGTGCTGACAGGTGCGGGGCTCAGGCTGACCTGTCCTCTCGGGCAGGCCCTGGCCGTCTGGTTAAGGTTGTGCCTTGGCTCCATTGTGCTTCCTGCCATCCGGGGGGTGACCCTACCGTTTGAGGAGCTGTCACTCCGTCTCCATGAATGACGGCTCCTTTAACGGACATGGATCCTGATCTGATGGTGAGAGGGGCCCTCGGGCTGCAACGCCCCCAGCTGCCCACGGCGGTGGGCGCTGTGCACTTCCTGGCGCCCGATCCAGCTGTGCTGGGGGGTCTGCAGGGTGTTTCAGGGCTGGGAGCCTGTGTGGGAAAGGCTCATGCGAGAGGACCACGCGGCTGGGTAGCAGCTCCCACGGCAACCTTTCTGTTTCAGGGAACGACGTGGGCCGGAGCTCCTACGGGGCCATGCAAGTGAAGCAGGTGTTCGACTACGCCTACATCGTTCTCAGCCACGCCGTATCGCCGCTCGCCAGGTCCTATCCCAACAGAGATTCCGAAAGGTAGCCCTGTCCTGGGTGCCGCAGCCTCTGCAGCACCGGCGCCCTGGCCTCTGTCGTTTGTTGACGGGTGTGCCACCCTATCTTGGGAGAACTGGGAAATACTGGTAAAGGAAGGCCTTTCAGGAGTTCAGGATGGTCATCGTGTTCAAGGGTGGAAAATTTATTTAGGGAGTTAACATTTTCTCAGGGTGTTAGTTTTGGGGAGCTCATTTCTGGCTTTTAAAGCTGTGGCACGTGGTGCTTTTTCTCAGGCCGTCTTCAAAATGTGGGTGCTTAGCTCCGAGGGACACGTCTGCCCCCCGCCCCGGCCCCTTCCTGCACACTTGTCCCCCATTCCCCGTTTTGAGTGTGCACTCTCGTGGTGTGTGCTTTGATTGGCGATGAGCAATATTTCTTTCTGAGCCCAGATGCTGCTGCTGTGGTGGAGGTGGAGGGACTTGGTGGGGGGGGGAGAGGGGAGTTGAGAGGAAGGCTGAGGTGATGGTCACCAGTGGTCACCGCAGCAGGACCGCCACCTCCGTCCTCGGTAGGTGATGGAGACAGTGGCCTCTGAGGCCTCGCCCCAGCGGTGGTGGCACAGGGCTCTGCGGCCTCAGTCCACTCAGCGTTTGCAGGCAGAGCTTTGGGCCCGTGCTGGGCTCTCGCTGTCTCGCCCGAGTGCTGGGAAACGGGACCCCTGTGGTCACTGGGGCTGGGGAGGGCGGGCTTCCCTACTCGGCCCCGGGCTTCAGCGGTCTTTTGTAGATAGGCGTAGGTCCAAGGATTTCTGCCGAAGAGCACCCATTTTTTCTGTACTGTGATCACAAAGTATGTTTGGGCTCAAACCCCGGAAGTCATACAGATTTGTAAAATTATTTCAGCTCTTTGCCCGCCTTTCGCTTAGTGAGGTTCTGTGTTAGAATGTAAAGTAGCTGCTGGGAAGGACTATTGACTGCCCGTGTCCTCCTGCTGCAGCACCTTAGGGAGGATCATCAAGGTGACCCAGGAGGTGATCGACTACCGGGCGTGGATCAAGGAGAAGTGGGGCGGCCGGGCCCACGCGCCGCCAGACCCCGGTGAGAGGCCAGCCCAGGGCCGTCACTGCGCCGCCTGACCCGTCGGTGCAGCCGTGTCTCTTTGTCCCTTGGTGGTAAACTGTTCACTCCAGGGGCACCTCGCTTTCTGTGAGAGTTTCATTTAAAACTGTTAAGGTTAGGCCAGTGCTGTACAGTAGAAATAACGTGTGTGCCACACGTGCAGTTCTAAAGCTCCTAGTAACTGCATTGCCAGCATGGAAAGAAGCAGGTGAAATTAATTCTGATAATATATTTTATTCAACTTCTAGTGTTCAGAATATTAACATTTTAACAGGTAGTCAATATACAGAGTTACTGAGATTTTTTTTTTCGGTACCGTGCCCTTGAAATCCAGTGTGTTTTTATACCTAGAGCACATCGTGATCAGGGTTTGTGCAATTTCCAGATGAAACTGTACATCCACGTTGTTCCAGGCCTATTTAAATGCTCTCCAGTAACTGAAGTGTAATTTTAAAAATTAATCGAAACGAAGTAAATTAGAAATGCGGTTTGTCAGGCCCCTGAGCAGCATTTAAGGCGCGGCGGGGCCCTCGGGCTGAGGTGCGTGACAGCTCTGTCTTCCCTCCACAGACGACAGGATTAAGACCACCGAGCGGACGGGCAAGTGCGAGGGGGAGCAGCCCCCGCGCCGGGACCCCGAGTCGCCCTGCGGCCCACGCCTGGCCCTATCCCTGCCCAGCCCCCAGCTCCTGTCCTCCGGCTCGTCTGCCTCCTCTGTGTCCTCGCTCTCCGGAAGTGACATCGTGAGTGTTTCTGCTGGGGGTGTTTTGTGTGTGTGTGGAAAACGCCCGCAGCAGTGAGTTTAAACTCTGCCCCCCTCGCTTTATCGCTTGCTCTGTGTGCCTGAGGCCACCCCGCGTGCGCGCCCAGCGGTCCCCGCTGTGCCAAGAGCCTCAGGTGGCGGGCACGTGGCCCCTCGGGAGCGGTGGGCCCGCGCAGCGTGGCTGCCATGGATCGTGTCTCACCCACTTACTGAGAGATAAGACCTTGCAGTCTGGGCGTCTCTTCTGCATCTCCTTTACGTTCTTCTTCACTTACATTCTTCTGCCCAGGTCTTATGACTCGGGGGAGACCTGGGCAGACTGGGGCTGCCCACATCCCAGGACCCTGGGGGCTCACCCTTGGCCGCTCCCGTCGATGTTAGGGGCACGGGCCTCGGGTGCAGCCATCCTCTTGTCACCCCCAGGATTCGGACACGCCCCCCTGCCCGACGCCCAGCGTGCGCCAGTTCAGCCTCCAGGCGCCTGCCCCTCTGCCGGCCAGCCTGCCTGCCGCCCTGCCCGTGCCGAGCGGCAGACCTCAGTCGGCCACGCCCAGGACGCTGGTCATGGCAACTAACACCCAGGTACGTGGCTGGTGACTGCCCCGGGACCAGCTCCCAGCTGCTGCCTGCGCTGTAGGACTGGCTGATACGGTAGAACTTAGAGAAGCAACTTTAAGTCTTTGGAAGTTCCACTTCTGTCTTGTAGGAAATTCTCATCTTCTGTGGGTGGATAGGATGTAATTGTTGTTCAAGGGACGTCCGTGCAGTTGAGGCCCGCCAGGCCCTGTGTTTGCAGCGAGGGGACTCTTGGTTCCCGGGCACCGAGGTGGCTTTTCTGCAAGCGTGAGGCCACCTCCCTGGGGCCATGCTGAGAGAGGGATTCTGCTGCTGTCCCTGGGCAGAGACGGACACTGTCCTTGCTCTCCCCTAGATTCTCAGTGTTTACACTCTTACTAAGTTTTGATATAAACTTTGACTTCTCCACGTTATCCATTAGGCAGTATTTATAGGTTTTTTTTCTATTTGAATATGTCCTCTTTTAAAAAATTTAGACAAAATTAGAGCGTAAAAGTTAATTTTAAGTATTTTAAATTTGTACCTACTTCCCAAATATACGTCAATTACACGTATATAAAACCCGTCACGTTAATTGACTTCTAAAGTAGAACCTGTTTCTACAGTGTGGGGTATAATCTGAGTGTAAAGCACCGTGGATGCGTGCGAATGTATTGCCGAGTTCCTCTGCGTTGCTTGGCTCTCCATCCAGGCAGGGCGTTCTCGGGACACGCCTCAGGCCGCGGGGACTGAGGGCAGCGGGCCCAGGATGCATGGTGGCGGCCATCAGCATAGCACCCCCAGAAGCCTTCAGTTGCTGCGTAAGCGTGAAATGAAGAGGCAGGTGCCTGCGCTGTGAAAGTAAACTCACAGATGATGAACTTGGCTCTAACCTTTCCCTGGGCTCAGCTCCCTCGAGAGCTGCGTGCCGATCCATGCTGCCTGTGCTCTCCCTCCAGGATGCTGGGGATGTCGGGGGGATGGTCAGGGCCACAGGCTGTGCCGGCTCCCATCTGTCACCCGCACGGACAGTGAGTGAGGCAGAAGCTAAGGTCATTCAAGTTTTAAGACGAGGCTCAAAGCCCACTTTCTCATTGTATTCCCAAACTTCAAACATTACTTCCAGTGGGGTAACTAAGGGAGATCCCACTTGAAAACCTCACGTGTACAGTCTCCCCTGCCCACTCGGGGTGCAGTGGGGACTTAGAGTTGGGGCCGCGAAGCTGTGCCCCTGGGGGCGCAGAGCCCCCACGGAGGAGAGGCCGCGGGTGTGCTCAGGCCCCGGGGGGGGGGGGGGGGAGGAGGTGTGAGGAAGGGGCACTGTGTGTGCCCTGCAGCCCCCGAGCGCATCCCTGAGGCCCCAGCTCCTGCTGCAGCCGCTGCCCCGGTGGCCACGGTCACGCTCCGGAGGTCTTTGGGGCAAATGCATCCACTTCTAAGACGAGAGCAGTGAGGTTGTTGAAAGTGAGTGGAGGGGCTCCCGCCAGCACCTCTGCCCCGTGACGGGCCAGTGATGCAAAGACGGAAGCGTTGGGGACTCTGACGAGAGCGGGGAGGGTGTCCACCCCGTCTGTGGGCCTTCGCTCGGGCCAGCCTCACGCCTGTCATCTGCCTTGCTGAGGGCTCTTTCTGGAGACCAGGGGGTACAGGTATTTTGATGACTGTAATGTTTTTGAATTGTTTGGTCTTCAGTGAATATTAAAACCTCACGACTTGGGTGACTGGACATACTTCACATCGTCGTTGCTGTTTCAGAGTATAGAATGTGTCCGATTCAAAATAAGATGTTGTAGTCGGGCACAAGCTAAGGGGCCTGTTTGCAAATGGCACCCTCGTCGGCGCCCATGGTAAGGACGGGCTGGTTTAGCCTGTGTTGCGTTGGTGCCTCATGGATGTCTCTGCTCGTTCTCTCCCAGACCAGGTTTACTATACCTCCACCAACGCTCGGGGTGGCCCCCGTGCCCTGTAGACCAGCTGGCATCGAAGGAGCTCCGGCGCTGAAAGCTGTCCACCACGTGTCTTCCCCGGCCGTCCCATCTGCGCCGCCTAACGCGCTTTCCAGTCCTCACCTGTATCACAAGGTATGAGTCCTGTCCGCCCGGGTCCTGGGTTCCCACCAAGCAGGTTTGTGATAGCCCGGTGCTTAATGCTTTCTCCACCAGAGAGGGAATTCCACAGAGATTCTTTTTTTTTTTTTTTTTTTTCTTCTCTGATCATTCAGCTTCATGTTTGCTTTCCCTTGTAACAAACAAAACTTTACAAGTGTTAAGAAATTATTTTAAAATTTCGTATAGTTTAATTCATCATGCATCTCTTTTTTCTAGTGGATTTGTTAGCGTGAAGGTCATGTTTGAAGCGAGGAATATTTTGCCCCCGCTTTTCTGCTAATTTGCGTTAAAAGAACTTTGCTCTCCAGGAACGGCCACGCCGTGAGCAGTGCTGTCTTCCCACAGTTTCACTCCCTCCTTGTTCTTTGCCGTGGGTGCCCTGGGCAGAGGGCCTGGGAGGGCCTGCGTGCGATGGGTTTTCTAGTGACCGGGGTGGGGTGGTCCCTGTGAATGCGTTTGTCCATTGCCCTGTGGCTGCTCTAAGTCCAGATCCCACACATTAGAAACTTGGTATCAGGAAGACAGGTCGTTGTTAAGGGGCCAGGATGTTGGAAAGAACCATGACCGTGTCCAGGCATGGGGGTTGGGGTGCGAGGCCCGAAGGCCAACGCGCCCAGGCTGACGGCGCTTGTCCACCTCCGCTCTGGTCAGCGCTCTCTGTTGCTTGTCTAATCACATTTGCCAGTGAGTTTTGATCCCTGAGGTTGGCTCTTTGGACCTATGTCACTGAGTCCTGCTTATCTTTTTCATTTAGAGTTAAGTAATAGAACGTTCCTTCCTGGATTTATCCATCCTGTCGCTACCTGGCTTGCTACGCTGATCTGTTAGAAATACTCAGGATGAAATTACAACTTTGCAGAGGGCAAAAGTGCTCTTCCTTAATAATAGCATTTTGGCTTTCCTTCTTAACCCCCTTCTGCTGGTTTTGCTCTGAAACCTTCCTGAGACCAGCCATGCCTTCCCTGGTCTGCTGTGCGTGGAGCTTGGCGGCCTGGGAGCAGCCTGCACACACCCCGCTGACCTGGAACCCGCTCGTGTGTTTCCAGAATGTCATGGTCGAAGTCTGGGGGAGAAAGTGAGAGGGACCCTCTTATCTCTGGACACGTAGAAGCAGCTAGAAGCGAGGTTCCAGACATATTTGGATATGAACACGTGTGGTTTGAAACAGGCCCACAGTTCTCGTGTTGCCAACGCTCTGGGTTAGGGGTAGTTCTCCGTGTCTGGAGGTAGCAACAGGAGTCCCTGTGAGGCGTGAGCGGAGGCTCGCTGTCGGTCCCGTCGCGTCTGGGGTCACGTGCACATGCGCAGCGGGCCACCGTGCGCAGCCTGCAGCCCTTCCCGCGGGCCCGCCGCCCTTCAGACCCCCCAGCGGGGTCGTGTCTCCTTCTCACTCGGGCTCCCAGCCCATGGAGGCGGCGGGTCTCCACGTGGGCCCTGTCCAGGATGGCCTCCAACCCTGTGTCCCTCTTGGTCCCCTCAGCAGCACAGCGGCATGAAACTGTCCATGAAGGGCTCCCACAGCCACGGCCAAGGCGGCAGCTACAGTGCGGTGGGCAGCGGAGGGGTGCGGCCTCCCGTGGGCAACCGGGGGCACCACCAGTATAACCGCGCCGGCTGGAGGAGGAGAAAACACACACACACGAGGGACAGCCTGCCCGTCAGTCTCAGCAGATAATACTCCTGGTGGCGCCACCCGGCCCACACCTCCCAGACTGGAGCCGGGTGGCCTCGGCGCCCCCGGGACCTGAGACCAGCACCCAGCACGCCAGCCGGGCCCCCGGCGCCCTCGGCTGCTCGCTCTGCATGTTCCTTGTGTGGTGGCCACGTCCGTCATGAAGAACGGCTCCTGTGCTCGTCTGTGGAGCCTTACTGGACGTGGACGCTGCCTTCTGCCTTCCCAGGAGTCTCCCTTCAGTGCTGGACCAGGAACTGCGGGGACGGACGGGGCCTTGGCCTTTCTCGGTACCGTGTCTGTCCTTTGCGTTGGTACTTCATTCCACGTTGTCAGAGCAACGGAGATCGAACCCCGTTATTTGTTGGGAGGTCATCCTTGTTTTACTGCCCTCACATTTTGTTTCAAATTTCAGAACTGTTTTTCTATGTAAATATTGGAAATTTATGATTTGTGCAATAACTCAGATATTTTTTATTTAATTTCATATTTTCACATAAGTTATATTTAAGGGAGAAGGGAATTTTTTTAAACGAGCTTAGATCCTTTCCCGAGTTGCATTTTCTAAGTTGGGTTCATCCTGTCGGCTGGTTGTCTGATGAGCGTTGTTACGAACACCGCGAACGAGGGGCTTGGGGTTTATTTTTATGTTCCTTCTTTTGGTCAGACGTGAGGCCTCTCAGTTCGTGGTGAAGGAGCTGAGTCTCCCCCTCACCCGCCCCGCAGCGGGTTTCCGAAGGGGTTTGGCTCCGAAGCCTTCTGACCAGCTGCCCGCCGGCTCTGCCGTCCGGCCTGTCTGTTGTCTTGCTCTGACCGTGGAGTTTTAATGTTTTGGGTTTGGTTCTTTTAAACTAGACAACAGACCCAGCATTTAGAGTGCCAGAGTGTATAACTTTCTATGGGGAGAAAAGGTTGTCACATTATGAAATCTTAAGCAAATGTGAACTTTGAAACGCCTCAGTTTTAGTAACATAGTCTGTAAATGATGGGTCTGGTGAACAGCGTCACGGACAATGGTACCCAGTTTTAGGAATGTGGAGAAAGGAATTATGTTGATTCCATTGTGGAATCTGTAGCAGTATGCATTCGTTCTGTTAAGAGCAAATATAGGAGAAGCACTTGAGCTGCTCAGTGCGCCGTGGAGGGGTTTTTAACACATCACAGGAGAGCACAGCCCAGTGTCGGGCCCCGGAGCGGCTGGCGCCCGACTCGAGAAGCATACAGGTATACTATGCAAGTGTGTTCTGCCATGACAGCCACTGTCTTTGTTACCCATTTTTGAACACTAATATACCCATCCTGCCTCACCCTGAGTTTTTGGAGCACCACAGGTGTCCTGGGAGTTAGGTGCCTCTTCTAGGTCATCCGACTCCCATTTTTAAAATGGGAGTCCTGGCCCTGCTGACGCTACAGGTGGGATGGTCTTTGAAGTCCACTAGCAGAGAAGGTTGGGACGAGAAGCTTACTGCCGTGACCCCAGTGACATGCAGAAGCGGGGCGTCCTCAAGTGGGGTCTGAGTGTAGAGAGCTTCACCGCATCTGCGGGCCCCCTGGAAGCAGGACTGGCCCCCGTGCGTTGAGAGTGGCCGGCCGCGCCTGCAGGGCTCCCTGGGAGGCTCCCAGAGCCGAGTAGCACGCTTTGTCTGCAGTTCTTGATGATCGGAGGTTATCAAAAGTATTTAAAGATATTTAAATCATGAACCTATTGATAAAGAAATATTTATAAAAACTGATCTGTAGGCCTGTACTAATCTCTACGCGTTAGCAATATTGACTGTAACCCTCCTCCAAGGAAACGCTGCGGGGGACTGCGGGGTACGGTGGGAGCGCCCTCGGGTGTGCCTCGGGACCCTCAGTCCCTGACCCGGGCGCCAGGCTCCAGCCCCGTCACGGTGAACCAATGAATTGGCCCGGCCGCCTGTGGCCACGCGCCGCGGGCCTGACAACAGGATATCATGTTTCGATTTTTTGTGTGTGTGGACAACAATGTGGAAGCTAAAATTGACATATTTTTATGTAAAGTTTTTCTATTCTTTGATTTTTAATAAACTTTGGAAACCAGGAGGTGGTTGTGTTTGAGTGTGTCTTTCCTTGCGGGGTTTATGTTGTGTTATGGCTCCTGCAGTTTATGTTCTTGACTTCTGTAAGTTCGGAGGGCGGGCCATTGTGTTACCACTGGTTCGGTGAACTCAGAACCTGGTGAGGTTGCAGGCTGAGCGCAGGAGAACCAGACCCGCCACAGGCTAGGCTGGCAGGGTGCGCCAAAGCCATTTAAATGATGCTCTTTGTGCGCGGTGTGACACTGTACTGACTTCCCGACGACTCATCTGTTTCTTCCACGGCTCTCTGAGGTCAACGTTATCATCACTTCAGAATAACGCATTTTAAACCACCGAACGTCACGATGCGTCTTAGTGTAGCTGACGATTAGGATTTATAGGAAACGTATAACATTCCTTACCAGCGAGTGACTGAGCCGCTTGTCCCGGGCTGCGAGGCCCGCGGGTGGGGTGCTCCAGGACCTGGTTGGTAGAGCCTGGCGTGCTGTAAGGCTGGTGTCGTGGGTCCAGTGCTCCTTCGGGTCCTTCCACCTTCCGAGGGTGCCCTGGGCAGGTGCTGTCTGGAGATGCCAGGCCTGCTCCTCAGGCACCCACGTTCCAGTGAGGTCGCAGGAGACCTCCGAGAGCAGCCGACGCCACGTGGCCTCAGCAGGGCGGGATGCCGTGGCTGGAGGTGAAGAGTGAGGGGTGTGTTTTTCTTAACAGGACCGCCTGGGGCGGCCTGGAGCCCGGGGCCTGAGTGGCGCCAGGGAGCTGGGTGCATCAGGAGCACAGCAGGAGGCCTGATGGCCGAGGCAGGGTGCAGGAGCTAGATAGGAGGGCGGTGGGCTGGGTGAGCTCCTGGAGGCCGCGAGGGGAGGTGGGAGGCTCTCCGTGCCACTGTGGCCACCTCTGGAGGATGGTGCTGGGATGGTCTAGGTGAGAGAGGACGGCCACTCGGGGCACTGGACGGGCTGCAGTGCGGGTTTAGGATCCGGGGTCGGCCTGGAGGTGGAGCTGGTAAGGCCGCCTGGTGGACGGGGGGTGATGGGCGGGGGGCTGGGGTCGCCCTTGGCCGCCTCGGGGTTTCTGCCCACAGCTCTCCGCAGGAGCTCGGATGGTGTGACCGCAGATACTTGAGGCCTCCCCGAGGAGCAGGGGCTGAACAGGCCAGTTGCACCGGGAGCCTGGAACCCGGGGGCGTGGAGACTGCGGTTACCTGAAGTGTAAGCAGGGCCTCGGGGAGCTCAGAGGGCAGGCGGTACCTGTGCTGTCCCGGCGGGGCCCTGCGTCCTCCCGGGACTTGGCGAGCCAGCGTCGGCTGTCGTGAGGATCCCACCGCAGCTCGGCCTCAGTGTGACCCTCTGCCCATCCAGCACGTTGTCTCAGGGCCCATCCGCGCTGACTCCCAGGCTTCCAGATAAACCCTTCGCGACCACGTCTCCAGGACTTCCCTTTTCATTTATTTATTTGTTTGTTTGTTTGAGATTCGTGGCTTGTGGGATCTTAGTTCCCTGAGCAGGGATTGAACCTGGGCCCTCGGCAGTGAAAGCGTGGAGCCCTAACCACTGGACCACCAGGGAATTCCCTCCAGGATTTCCTCTTCGAGTTGCTGCAGGGTTTCTCGTGCCCTGTCTTATCCCCGTTCGAGGTGCCTGGCACGTGGGCCCCAGACAGCCTGTGTGCACGGTGGCGGTGACATTGGTAATCCAGACACACGTACACGTTTTTGTTTCAGTCACCTTGTGATGATTTTTTAAAACGTATTCTTTATTTTTCTAGTGAAGTATAGTTGACTTACAATATTAGTTTCAGCTGTGCAAAATATTATTTCAATATTTTTGTAGCTTATCCTCCATTTAAAGTTATTATGAAATATTGGCTACATCCACCCCCTGTGATGATTTGGTGAAACTTCGAGGAGGGTGTGATGTTTATCATTACACTTCAGGACTTGCAAAGCTCTTGCCAGTCTTTAGGCGACTTAGATGACCAGAGCAAGCTGATGACAGTGGATAGTGGCTACCATGAAGCACAGAACCCCAAACACCCCACCCTTGGGGCTACTTCCCATTGGTTAAGAGCGACTCAAGAATAGGTTTCATTACTGTGTTTCCTTGGCTGCGTGCGGGCAGGGCAGTTCCCCAGCAGTTGATGAGGAAGGCACCCTGGCCACACCGGCTAGTGTCATTCGCTGTCAGTCTCCCAGCATCACAGGGTCCTGGAGAAGGACCAATTCGTGATTCACAGGCCCCAGAGTGAATTCTGGGCAAGATGGATAAACCTGGTGTTCGTTAGTGGGGTTTTCAGAAGGTAGGGCGAGTTCTGCCTTCATTGGAACCGTGTGCCAGCCCGGAGCGCCTCAAGGTCTCCCATGATCCCCCGAGAGACTGCTGACTTCAGGCTGAACCCCTTTGCCTCACACTGGTGTTGAGGGCCAGCCGGAAGCCCCCTGGGTTGATGTGTTCAAATGGTTATGAGAAAACTACCTGGACTTGGTTTTAATGGCCAGTGTTTATGTCGTAAGATAGTGGCCCTCATAAAGACGGATTCCGGAAAGTGCGCTCTCATCCCACCCTCTGGTCCTTTCGGCTCCTTCCTGATGGACCCCATCTTCCTCTGCCCCTGGCACCTCCTTTCTCATCCAGCTTCAAGCGCACTCAGGCCCTCGTGGTCAGATCCCTCACCGCTGTCTCTCAACTGCATTCTCCCGGCAAGACCCGCACCCCTCGGCCTTTCGCGCAGGGGAAGGGACAGCGGGGGCGGGGATGGGGGTCAGCTAAGGCCGGGGCCAAGGGCCCCGCAGAGACGAGGCTGACGTTCTAAGTACTTAGTGGGCCCGGATCACCCTGTGACGCCACCAGCGCTGTGGCTTTGCATGCCTCCACGCTGGGCACAGGTGCCGTCCCATCTGCAGGTGAGTGAGGGGAGGTGACTCGGCCAGGGTCAGTTAACAGGTGTGGGGTGAGATGGGACACAACTCCCCGTACCCTCAGGGCTCAGGTGGTCCTACCCACTTTCTTAGCGAGGAGGGTCTCGACCCCTACTTGGTTGAAATCCACACCCCACCTCCCTGCTCCCCTCCTTCCCCTCTCAGACATGGCCTTGCCTCCTGGGTCAGAAAGCAAGCCCGGGCCCCAGGGTGCTTGCAACACCAGCCCTGCTCCTTCCCTGACGTTGTAAATAAACACAGGAAGTGCAGCCCGGCCTTTGCTGGGCCCACTTGTCCTGTCCTCTGTCTCAGACCCCTGCTTCTGTCTCCCACCAGCCTCCAAACCCTTCAGGTCTCCCCCGTCTCCTCCCTCTCTGGAGGCTCCTGGCCTCTTCTGGAACCAGCTGCCTGCATGGCTCTCTCCACCCTCTGCCTCCCCTCTGGGCTCGCATCCCTGCGACTCTGTGAAACCTCGGGGCAACCTCAGCTCTGCTTCTCTTGGGCTGGGCTCCCAGGACGCCCTCACCTCCTTGGCCTCCTCGACGGCATTTTCCCGTCTCCCAACTCTGCTTGTACCCTGGCTGGATTCCCCAGGAGCAACTCCCAAGGCCACACTGGTCTCTCCTCCACCTGTGACCTCACCTGCTTCCAGGGTGGCTGCCCTCAGCCTTCCTCGATCATCCTACCTCATCCACTGGGCATCTGTTGGCCTCTAAATCTGCTACCTACAACTCCTCAGGACCTAGACCCATCCCTTCCTTCTCAACCTGACTGCCTGGGACTGCCCTACCCGCCTCACCCTCCCTACTCTCCCTGTCGTCCCGCCCTGGGCCCGCCCTCATCCCCGCCCCTCTCCCGGACGCCCCGCCCCGGGCCCGCCCTCATCCCCCCCCCCCTCCCGGACGCCCCGCCCTCCCCCCCGCCCCTCTCGGACGCCCCGCCCTGGGCCCGCCCTCTCCTCCCCCTCCCCCGGCCCTCCCCTCCCCCTCCCCTCCCCCCTCTCCCTCTCCTGGACGCCACTGCAGGGGTCAGCCTTCAGTCCATTCTCCAACTTCCCTCCATTCTCCAACTTCCCTCCACGGAGCACCATCTTTCAAAAGCACAACCTCAACCCTGTCTCTGCTTCTCAAATCCCGGCATGTCTCTCCGGGGTCCTCAGGACGGCCTTCCCCAACATCAGGCTTTATAGTACTGAATAGTTCCTTCCCAGTTTTATCTCTCTGCGTGTACTGCCTGAATTGTTACTGAATTGTTACTTACCTCCTTTTTTTTTTAACGCAGGTCCATTTATGTAGGAAGGAAAAGATACCCCTTCTTAAGTGGTTTGGGGCTGAGACTTGCAGGTCGTACAAATGCTGCGGGGCTGGCCAGAGCACTGTATCCTGTGACTGGAATTGGGAGCTTCTTGGGGTTCTGCACCCCCAAACGCGCCTGGTCCAGAGAGGAACAGGGAGGAAGCCAGTCACCTCTCATTTCCTGTTTGCCTCCTCATTCTCAGGGGACACTGGCCAGCCCGGGCGCTGGGGCACTGGCTTCACCACAGCCCCGCATAAGTTTCCCTTAGAGCTCGGCCTGAGCCTTCAAGAGCCCTGGACAGTCGTGGCTGGCTGGTAGGACCACCCTGGCTCCCCTGTAGGGGGCCGGGCAGCCCTTTTGAAGAGAAGGCTGCCCTTTCCGATGACCTCTGAACACTTGTCTCTCAAATGGTCTGTACTGAAGGACTTGTGAGTTGTTTATTTTTTAATATCTGGTCAGCCATTACCAATAGTCATGTAAAATACAGTAAAAAATGAGTTAGTAGGAAAAGAAAGTGGAAAAACAAAACCCTGCTTATAAATATACAGATTAAAAGCTCATGTGGTTCGTTACTGGATCCGTCAGACCAAAGCTGTGCTGTCAGGTGTTCGGGTGTCTAAATGTTCCCATCCATGTTCATACCTCCCTATGTGGCCGTGGCTGGGCTTTGGGGACCCAACTGGTCCCTCACCTTGCTCTGAACCGTGGCTCCCACCTGTCCTCAGGTCTCTCCACGGCCCTCCTGGGGAGCATTTATCCTTTGGGAAGGCCCATGACACTTATTTAACACACGAC